CAGGAACACAAATAAGAAACTCAACAGAGAAACAAAAGAACTAAAAGAAGTTATGTCTCAACTGGGGTTAACAGACATCTATAGAACATTCCATCCAAAAACAAAAGAATATACCTTCTTCTCTGCTCCACATGGAACCTTCTCTAAAATCGACCACATACTAGGTGGCAAAACAAACCTCAATAGATACAAAAGAATAGGAATAGTCCCCTGTATCTTATCGGACCACCATGCTTTAAAATTGGAATTCAACAAAAACACAAATAGCAGAAAACCTGCAAACTCATGGAAACTGAACAATGTGCAATTGCACCACTCCTGGGTCAAAGAAGAAATAAAGAAAGAAATTAAGGACTTTCTAATATTCAACGAGAATGAGGACACAACATACCCGAACTTATGGGATACCTTGAAAGCAGTGCTACGAGGGAAGTTCATTGCACTAAGTGCCCATATGAAGAAAACAGAGGATAGTCACATAAGAGAATTAACAGCGCAACTGAAAGTCTTAGAACAGAGAGAAGCGAATTCACCCCATAGGAGTAGACGCCAGGAAATAATCAACTTGAGGTCTGAAATCAACAAAATAGAAACCAGGAAAACAATACAAAAAATCAATGCAATGAAGAGTTGTGTTTTTTTTTTTTTTTTTTTTTTTTTTTTTTTTTTTTTTGAGAAAATCAACAAGATAGACAAACCTTTATCCAAACTAACAAAAAAGCAGAGAGAAAACATGCAAATTAATAAAATTAGAAACAAAAATGGGAACCTAACAACAGACAGAGAGGAAATCCAGACAATTTTCAGGTCATACTTTCAAAATCTGTATTGCACAAAAATTGAAAATTCAAAGGAAATGGACAAATTTCTGGATAACTATCACTTACCAACATTAAATCAAGAACAGACAAACAACTTAAATAGACCTATAACCCGCAATGAAACAGAAGCAGTCATTGAAAGCCTTCCAACCAAAAAAAGTCCAGGGCAGATGGATTCAGTGCAGAATTCTACCAGACATTCAAGGAAGAACTAATACCACTATTTCAAACTGTTCCACAAGACAGAAACAGAAGGTCCATTGCCAAACTCTTTTTATGAGGCCACAATAACCTTGGTACCCAAGCCTCACATGGACACAACTAAGAAAGAAAACTACAGACCAATATCCCTGATGATTGATGCAAATATACTCAATAAAATACTGGCAAACAGAATTCAAGAATACATCAGAGAAATCATCCACCATGACCAAGTAGGCTTCATCCCTGGATTGCAGGCGTGGTTTAACGTTCGAAATCTATCAACATGATCCACCATATAAAGAAACTGAAAAAGAAAAACCATATGATTATCTCCTTAGATGTCTTTGACAAAATCAACACCCTTTCATGATAAAGGTCTTGGAGAGGTCATGGATAACAGGAACATAGGTAAAAATAATAAGAACAATATACAGCAAACCAACTGCCAACATCAAACTGAATGGAGAGAAACTTAAGCCAATTCCTCTAAAATCAGGAACAAGACAAGGCTGCCCTCTCTCTCCATATCTCTTCAATATCGTACTAGAAGTTCTAGCTAATGCTATAAGACAACAAACTGAGATCAAGGGGATCCAAATTGGAAAGGAAGAAGTCAAACTGTCTCTATTTGCAGATGATATGATAGTTTACATAAGCGACCCAATAAACTCTACCAGGCAACTCCTACAGCTGACAAACACCTTCAGCAAACTAGCAGGATACAAGATAAACTCAAAAAAATCAGTAGCCCTACTTTTTTCAGATGACTAAGAGACAGTGAAAGAAATCAGAGAAACATCACCCTTTACAATAGCCACAAGCAACATAAAGTATCTTGGTGTAATGCTTACCAAACAAGTAAAAGACCTATATAATAAGAACTTTGTGGCTCTAAAGAAAGAAATTAAAGAAGATACCAGAAAATGGAAAGATCCCCCCTGCTCTTGGTTAGGTAGGATAAACATAGTAAAAATGGCAATCTTACCAAAAGCAATCTACAGATTCAATGCAATCCCCATTAAAATCCCAGCACAATTCTTCACTGACCTTGAGAGGATAATAATCAAATTTATATGGAAAAACAAAAGACCCAGGATAGCCAAAACAACCCTATACAATAAAAGAACGTCAGGAGGTATCACCAGTCCTGACTTTAAACTCTACTACAGAGCTATAGTTCTGAAAACAGCCTGGTAATGGCATAAAAATAGGTAGACAAATGGAATCAAATCGAAAATCTTGATTTTAACCCACACACCTATGAACACCTGATTTTCAACAAAATAGCTAAAATTATACAATGGGGCAAAGACAGCATCTTCAACAAATGGTGCTGGCACAATTGGATGAGGGTGTGTAGAAGACTGCAGATAGACCCATGTCTGTCGCCATGCACAAAACTCAAGTCCAAATGGATCAAAGACCTCAACATCAATCCAGCAACATTGAACCTCTAGAAGAGAAAGTAAGAGGTTCCCTTGAACAAATTGACATAGGAGACCGCTTCCTGATTATAACTCCAGGGGCACAGACACTGAGAGAAACAATTAATAAATGGGACCTCTTCCAACTTAGAAGCTTCTGTAAGTCAAAGGACACAGTGGACAAGACCAAACGGCAGCCCAAAGGCTGGGAAGAGATTTTTACCAATCGTATATCCGACAAAGGGCTGATCTCCAAAATATACAAAGAACTCAAGAAACTAGTCAACACAACACCAAATAAGTCTATTAAAATATGGGGTACAGAACTGAAGAAAGAATTCTCAATAGAGGAAATCAAAAAGGCTGAAAGACACTTAAGAAAATGCTCCACATCCTTGGCTATCAGGGAAATGCAAATCAAAACAACTTTGAGATACCATCTTACTCCTGCCAGAATGGCTAAAATTAGATACACCAATGATGACTCATGTTGGAGAGGATGTGGAGAAATGGGAACACTCCTCCACTGCTGGTGGGAGTACAAACTCATACAGCCATTTTGGGGATCAGTATGGTGGTTCCTCAGGAAAATGGGAATTAGTTTACCACAGGACCCAGCAATCCCCCTCTTAGGCATATACCCAAAGGACTCTCTTCCATGCAACAAATACATCTGTTCAACTATGTTCATAGCAGCACTATTTTTAATAGGAAGAACCTGGAAGCAACCTAGATGCCCCTCAATTGAAGAATGGTTAATGAAGATGTGGCACATCTACACAATGGAATACTACTCTGCAGAAAAAAATAATGGTATCTTGAAATTCGCAGGCAAGTGGATGGCACTTGAAGAAACCATCCTGAATGAGGTAACCCAGTCACAAAAAGAGGAACACAGTATGTACTCACTCATGTATGGATTTTAGACCTAGATCAAAGGATCACCAGCCTATAATTCACACCACCAGAGGAACTAGGATACAAGGTGTATTCTAAGAGATTCATATAAAGTCCCTCACAGAACTTGGAAGGGACAAGTCCCCCCAGAGCTCAGGTGAAGTGGGGGGGGCAATGAATGGAGAGAGAAGTAGGAGAAAATGAGGGGTAGGAAAGGAAAACATGTGCGATTAGGAAGATTGAGCCTGGTTAGGAATAGAAGATAGGAAAGAGAGAGATAGAGACAGAGACAGAGAGAGAGAGAACATAAAAGAGGGAGCCAATATTGGTTTGAAGATAAAATTGAACACAAAGAAAGGTCTAGAGAACTACAGGGCTGCTGCCAACTAACAATTTGAGTTTTGTGGAAAGGCTAACATAAATGCCCTTCCCGGAGAGTGAGATCAACCACTAACTTATCCATGGAGCCCTCAACTAATGCCTGTTGGAAACAAAAGCAAACATAAACACTGAGTGGAAGTAGAACTCAGATGCAGAGGGAGAGGACAAGACCAGGCAGCAGAAACACATAGTGGCAGCTTACCTGAACAAGGAGGAGCTAAAGGGCCACCAGACTTATAGCTGGCATGCCAGCATGGGACTGACTCAGGCCCCCCTGAATATGGGTCTCAGCCTGAAGGACTGAGCAGTCTAAGGGACCTCAGACATTGGAGCCAGGTTGTATCCCTGGTGCACAAGAGGACTTTGCGAACATATCCCCCATGGAGGGATAACTGCCTTAACCTAGAGACAGGAGAGAAGCCCTAGTCCCTACTTCACAGGACCTGTCAGACCTACATGACCCCTACTGGATGACATTCCCCTACGTATGGAATTGGGGTGGGGGGATGGGAGGGGAGGGTGGTTAGAGTGCATGTGAGAGGGCAGAGAGGGTAAAAGGCAGGGAAGGAGGAAGAGATGGGGGGAGGGAGGGAGGGAGAGGGAACTGAGATCGACATGTAAAATAATAAATTAAATTTAAAAAAATGCTTTGACTCCAAAATTTAAATTCAAGGTCAAGTTACTGGGGAAAATGATTTCTATTTTTGTTTCCACAGAAAATGAAAAGATGTGGATTCCTTCCAGACTAAAGTGGTTTCATCAAGCCAGACCACCTGAAACAGAGTACCAGGTGATCCTACATTCAAAACAGCTAAACAAAGCAGCCTGACAGACTACAGCCAGGATTTCTGAATCTTCTTGGAATTCCCCATGACAGTGCCCCTTACCAGCAGGAAGTAGTTAGGAAAGAACAACGCCCAAATTCCCAAATATTGTCTATAAATGTTTGTTTTCTTTTAAATGGACTTGGTTATATAAAATAAAATAAAAAAAAAAAACCTAATAATCCCTTAAAATGAATCACCAAGTTCTCAGAATTCAAGTTTAATGGATACTAAAAAAAAAAGAAAAAGTTGATTTCTGAGACAGGTATATCAGACAGTCTACCCACAACACAGCTCAGGCCATTCCCAATAGTGGAAGAATGGCTAACTACCCCAGCACTGTAGGAAAGGCATATTTTGTATCACATATTTTGTTTTGTGTTTAAACATGCACAGAGTATAAGAGATTTTCCTCTGGTGCAAGCTGGCAGAAAAATGTCTCTAAGTGCTCACTTCTGCTTAGAGAAATATTCTTTGCTCTTTTGGACACTAGGCTGGATAGTATCACTGTCAGTTTTCCAGGCAGCTGGGCACATTTCATCATATTTGTCGCTGCACTGGAAGGCATGGACTAATCTCAGTATCTCATCCACAGATCGGCAAACACGAAGATCAGCTTTTAAGGCTCCACAATCTTGAGCAATGGTGCGATTGGGATCTGATACCAAGAGAATGTTCGTGGGTCCCAATCCTCCTTGTTTCTTGGGTGTATTAATCCATGACAGATGACAGAAGTGAGAAATCACAGAAGCTCTAATTACTTGGCAGTTGAGTTCCTTAAACTCTTCTGCCCTATTACTGAAAGCAATGATCTCAGTGGGGCACAAATATGTAAAATCAAGAGGGCAAAAGAAGAATACGGTATATTTTCCTCTGTATTCACTAAGGCTGATATCTTTGAATTGTCCATGTGGCATAACAACTGTGGCTTTGAAGTTGGGGGCAGGATGCCCAATTATTGCATTTCCGCGAAGACATCTGGCTAACAGTAGGGCCAAGTCACAGGTCTCCAACAGAAAAACAACCAAGGCCAAGGCCAGAGAGGAAGACTTTTTTTTTTTTTTTTTTGTCAATGTTTGGGAAAGTGAAATGGAGTAAAGCACTTGTTGCTAAACCCTATGAACAGAGTTCAGATTTCTAGGAAGAGGACAGCCAAGTCTAGCCAATTGTCCTCTGACTCACACTGTGGCACACTTGAGCTGCTTCCACGTTAAACTAACTACATATAAAAATTTCCTCTGAGGCAAGGCAATCCCTGCTTTGGCCATTGTGTGTAGTGGAGAATGCACATGAACGACCCTGTGCAGGCGGACAGGAGTGAGTTCTGAAAAGCAAACCTATCCAGAGCTCCTGCATTTCTGCACTTTAGGGGCTGTGGCTGCTTGTGTCTTTGCTTCCACTCCTCCTCACCCCCCATGAATTGGCTCCTCCTGTCACTCAGGTCTCATTAGCCAATCAGAGCAGCCACATAAGCTTCCCAATAAGGGGAGCTGTTCCGAGGAGAGACCTGGGTTCTTAGCCGCCAAGTAGCGGTTCCTTTTAGGTTAGCGAGGTGCTGCGTGGGCTGCGCTGTGGGCACCGCTGCCAGGAGCTGAGAGGAGAGCACGAGTGAACTCAAAAAAAAAAAAAAACGGTCATGGTGAGCAAGGAGCGGGGGGGCTGGCTGAGGCCCTGGGGTCCCCCTCTTGGCTAGCATGGCAGCTGTGTCCAGAGATCCCTGCCCTGGTTAGCTCTGCCCCTCAGGCTGCATCTGCCTTAAGTGCTGATCACCTTGGAGGAAGGCTTCACCTCTCCTCATCCTTGTTGGTGATGTCACTGCTGAGTGCTCTCAGGAGGTGTCTGTATTGGGGGTCTAGCTTCTTTGAGTTTAAGAGGTTCTGCACTTCACATTTCACATTTAGGTTTAGGATGCACTTGAAGTTAATTTTGTGTAGGTTATAAAAGTCTGTCATTAATAGTTTTACATATAGATGTTATGAAAGACCAAAAAAGTAATGTTAATGATGGACTGACCTGGCAACCAATATCTGTTCCTTGGAATTTGCTCTCACAATGCTCTGAGAAAAGAAGAATTCACACTGCCCCTCCTTTCCTGTGAGTCAGCAGGCGGTAAATAGGGTCCTTAGGAAACAAAGAGATAGCTGCAACTCTGGTTTGGCCAGAGAAAATTAATTAGCACATCCTGAGGCCCTAAGGTCTGTTGATCCTAATAGCAGACCATCCGGCCTCCAAGGGTCAAGTACTCAATGGACAGAGGGTCCCACCCCCTCCCTAAGCTTGTGGGTTTGCCTATAAAAACACCTGGGCCCAGGGGAGGGGGCTTCTCTCTAGCCTGTGTGCTGGAGGAGCCTATTTGTGCAAACGTTTCCTGTTCATTAAAGCCTCTTGCATTCTGCAGCAACTGGACTGAACATTGAGTTCTTGGGGTATCGACCGAACCTGGAAGACTCCTCATTCTGAGGGTCTTACAGTTAAGGTGGCCCGCTGTTTGTTAATAAAGGAATTTCTTTGAATTTCATTTGCTCCTTTGTCAAAAACAGTTGACTGTATTTTTGTTCATTTATTTCTGAATTTTCTCTTCATATGTTTGTTGTGAAATAGAACATTTGCTTTGGTGTTTGAGATAGGGTCTCTATGGAGATCTGGCTCTCCTGGAGCTTTCTTTGTAGACCAGGCTGACCTCACAATGACAGAGAACTTGCCTCTGTCCCCGAATGCTGTGATTACAGTTGTTCACCGATCATGCCTGCCAGAAGTAGACTGTTTTTATTGTCATTTTAAAATCAGATGATGATAGTAAGTGACTGTAGTGTTCCAGTGTGTTGACCTTTTTCTTTTCTTTTGAGATAGACACCCATAACACAAGTGTAGCCTCAAACTCACTGTGTAACTGAGGGTAACCTTGAACTTCTGATCTTTCTCCTTTCACTCACCTCAAGAGTGAACGATTAAAGATATATGTCAACAATTTCTGGTTTTATCTTGTGCTTTGAAAGGAACCCAAGGCTTCCTGATGCTAGGAAAAACTCTACCAGGTGTGCTACATACCAATCCTATGTGTTGACCATTTTGACTGTTTTCTCTTTCCCACATAACCTTGTTTTTAAAGATTTATTTACTGTATATGTTTGAATGTTTTGCCTGCATGCCTGTCTGCATTTTACATCTGTCTAGTGCCCTCAGTGGCCAGAGAATGTAACATCAACCCCCCTTGAGCTGGAGTTTGATGTTTGTGAGCCACCACGAGTGCTAGGAACCCAATAGTGATTCCTTGGCAGAATAAGATCTTTTAACTGCTTAGCCAGTTCTTTAACCCAGTGGTTCTCAATTTGTGGGGCATGACCACTTTACAGGGTTGAATGAACCTTCCACTGGGGTCTTGTTTCAGATATTCTGCTTAGCAGAATATACTTTACCATTCATAACAGTACCAAAACTATAGTTGTGAAATTGTAACAAAATAATTTTATGGCTAACAGTCACCACAACATGAGGAACTGTATTAAAGGACTATTGAGAACCACTACTTTTGCTCCTCCATATAATCCATAGAATCAATTTTGTTATTAACATAAGTAGTTAGGACTTTTTTGAGATTGTGTTGAATCTATAAATTTCTTAAATCAGTTATTTATGTATATATGTTTATAGATGGGTGGTCATACTACTGAGCATGTGTAACACCAGAAGACAACTTAAGAGAATCGATTCTTTCTTTATACTATATTGGTCCCAGATGTCAAGGTCCCAGATATCAAACTCAGGTGTTCAGATTTGCTGAGCCATCTCTTGAGCTCCGTGTTGAATTTATAGATCAAACTGAGAAGTGGGATCATTTTAAGGATTTCTGTCCATAATTGGAATGTTTTTATTCATTAAATGTTTTAATTAAAAAATTAAAGTTTGTGTTTACAGGTTTTTATTACAGGCATATGTATTTCTAACACCTGTTGTCCTTGGTGCTGTATAAGTGATACTTTTAAATTAATACCCAAATGTTCACTACTGATATGCAGGGAAATGATAGGTCATTAATCTATCATTAATCTAGTGATTTTACAAGTTTGCTCTTTCCTTCCTTCCTTCCTTTCTTTTCTTTTCTTTCCTTTTTTTTTTAAAGACAGGATCTCACCCTGTAGTTCTAGCTGTCCAAAAACTTTCTGATATGCCTGCCTCTGCCTTCTGAGTGCTTGGACACTGGCTGCTGTAATTTTTTGTTCCTTGTATTTTTGTTGGGCTAGGGATTTTCTGTGGTCGATGACAATTTTATATATTTCTGATCAATATCACAGTATGCACCTCATCCCTGTTTTGCACTATAGGTTTTGTCTTTTTAAGATTTTATGTTTATGAGTGTACCTGAATGCATGTGTGCCACATGCACATCAGAGCCCCTAGAACCAGAGTTAGTTTCTGGCTTTCATGTGGATGCTGGGAACTGAATCCAGATAATTTGCAAGAGCATTAAAGGCTCTTAACCCATCATCTTCTCCAAATTCAGTGTTGTGGGATATCCACCAAAGAAGACTGCTTGGACATGGGTTTAAGCAAATAGGAAGTCTGTATTAGTTGACCAGTGACTAAATTTGGTATTTAGTATCCCAGTACACTACTGAGCCTTTCTCAGAGTAATCTTTTAAACAAAACAAAACAAAAATAATGTTCTAGGTTGGCCTACTTCACTTAACAAGAACAGTTAGCAAGAAACAGAATTGCAGAAGGCAGAAAGCAAGGTTAGTACATTTAGAGGCTTTCCCAGAACTATGGACGTTCATGAACTAGATCTTTGTTTTCATTTTGGCAGTTGGTGCTGTCTACGTGCTGAGCTTTATGGCCTAAATGGGAATTCCATCATGGAGTCATTTGTGCTAAGGTCTCAGGGCCTTCTAAGATCTGAGGGTCTATTATATTCCTCACTGGTCTTAGTGAATAAATCAAATCTTGGACTCATGCTGCTCTGAAGAGGTGTAGTTGGTCCCAACTACTGAGCTGACACATAATTGGCCATACAGCTTCAGATGTAGGTCCCTGATGTTAATTTAGTTAAAATGAGAATTAAAGGCCCACCCAGTGCTGATAGAGTATTTAGACAGGGGAACCAAGAAAACAAAGACTGACATCAATTATATTTATGTTATCAGTTTAATTTATGTCTTTGTCTTTTTCTTGTTTGAGATTTTCCCTTTTATTATTATTGATCAATTAGCATAAAGCAACAGTTTTCTTCCAAAGCCATATAATAGTTCCTTTTATCTCTTGAAAAGTAAGTCTAAACCTTTTCAGTTTTGTAGGACCACATCTGCAAGAGAATCTAAATGTTGTTTTAATTCAGAAATGAAAACTGTTAATACCTCTAGCTCCTCATCAACCTGTCTACTTAGTTTGGAACACACCAGAAGAGACACATTTAGTCAAACCATTAGTGTACACCCACCAAGAAGTCTCATGGCCTTGGTAATATTGCTGTTATCCAGACAAATTAACCCATAAGACAGAATAGCAGATATCAGAATAAGGGGAAGCCTAGGTTAAAGGTTCTGAATATTAGATAAGTTTCATCCCTTATAAGTCCTCTAACATTAATTTGGGCTACTCCCAGATACAATGAGTTTTGTCCGTCTGGTTAGTTCATGTCCCTGTGTACTATGGGAGCTGGGTATCTATACATAACCAGTGATCATGGCTGATTTCTGGCTGGGAATGTTTATAACCCCATCCGTAGAGTCCCTTCCTGTGGGATAGTCTTGATTCCCTAGGTTTGTTCTGTTTTCTAAAGGCCAGAATGTTCCTTATGGAATCTCCAGATTTTTAATTTTATGGCCATTGGATTATATTTTCCTTTCTTGTATTTCTTGGGAGGAGGATTTTTATATATTCATCCATGTATTTTTAGGAAGCCTCTGTTTTACAACCCCATTTTTTTGCAATGGAA